GACGAAGTTTGCCTCACCCTAATCTGAACAGGGTTTCTAAGGCCAGCCCTGATAAGATTGACCACGTCCGAAGTTTGAGTAGCAGAAAACAGCCCAGTTCTTCTCTGTTTGGGAAGGTATGCAAGTATTGTGTTGATTGTCTCGGTAAAACCCATTTCTAGGAGTAAATCAGCTTCGTCTAATATTAAGACTTCCAACGCCTTGCAAGCAAGTCTCAAGCTTGTGCCACCAGATTCACATCTGTTGAAGATATCCTCAATTCTTCCAGGTGTGCCGACGATGATGTGACCGCCATTACTTTCAAACTTTGCAACGTCTTCAGACACGTTTCCTCCACCGACGAGTAACAGTGACGACACTTTTTTGCTGTGTTTGAGCAACACCTGAAGAACTTCATGTATTTGCGAAGCCAACTCTCGCGAGGGTGACAAAATCATAGCATAAACCTCGTACTTCTTGATGGGGTCTTCTCTTCGAAGTATCATTTGAAGAGTCGGTACCAAAAACGCTAGAGTTTTACCACTACCTGTGACAGCCTCGGCAGCCACGTCTTGGTAGCTCAACATACGAGGGATACAAGCAGCCTGTACGGGCGTCATCTTGGCGAAACCAAACTCCTTGACGCCGGCGGCTACGGCAGGAAGTAGAGGAGGGGACAGGCACTCCCATAACGCATCCATGACTCAGTTGAGATGAGCACAATCCTGGAAGAAAATAAGACTGATAAACCAAATAGAACCTTACTGCCATCATTTATTTTTTATCTAAGGATCATATTTGATTTTCCTCAGATCATAATTATTATCCAAAATAGTTATTACTCATGCAATGATGTACGTATCAGAGAAATTTTGCTAAACTCACCGGTTAACAGAAATGAATGCAACAAATTGCTCGCTTGGTCTGTATGTTCCCTACTAAGAAATTTCAGACAAGATCCTAGTTGAAATCAGCACCTATGGAAATTTCATGGACTAAAATATTTTGCAAATGAATGCAAAAAAAATGAATCATCAAAATCTATCAAATTGGGCAGCTTTACTTGAAGTAAATATGCAAACAATTTTGCAAAATTTTTCATACGTTTTATATAGCTGCAATGGAAAGAAATGAAGGAAGAAATTAATAATCAAAATGTTAATGTTGCATCTATTAAATATAAAACCACTTTTGAAATTGTTATTAATTTTTGTCCTATATGTAACTGCAATCATTAATAAATCTACTTGGATTTATGTCAAAAAATTATAACCAAAATATTGAGTTGAATGCATGAGTAATTATTTAGGAGAATTAATTTCAGTATTACATGTTATAGACATTGAATCATTGAAGTAGAATCTGGACACAGACAAACAAGGAAATCAGATAAAAAAACACCCATTCAAAAAATGTTTATGTACATTAAAAACTTGGTATATCAGCTGCTGCACAATGAGCAGAATAAATCTAAGGTGTCAAAACAGGAGCTCTTAAAAAATTCACTCTCCAGCAATGTAAAGCTGATAGTTTGGGACTGCATATTAGCTGAAATGTATAGTACAGTATTCATTACAAAATACAACACTAGTGTTCTAGTTATCTAGTCTCATTCAATTAAAACTATGTATATACAGTATATAGGTATATACAATTTAGAAACTGAATTCATCAACCAAGCAACACTTCCTATTTTATTTATGAACCTTTGTTTATTGTTTTACTCTTAAGGCTGGACTCTAATCCTCTTGGAGGGAAAAATTGCTCAACTACTTCTATCCCATGATGAATGATGGCACCAGACGATTAGTGATGAGATCCAATGATCCATGTGCTTGTCATTCTTGCACAAAAAAAGGTTACCATTCATTCAGAAAAAAATGTGGGATCAAACTTATAGACTTGATATACATAATCATCTTTAAAAAATAAAAATCATACATTTTTCAAAAAAGAACGAGAAAGAACAAGAAATATCAAAGAGAAAGCATTCAAAATGTCCAAAACACTAGATGCAGATCAATAACCACACAATTTCCTAAGAAATGGGTTTCATAAGGTGTGCGATGCTATGAAAATTAAATCAAGTAAAGTTATAAGAAATTATTCTGAAATATTTTTACTACGGTAGGTACATGAATGAGGTATATAAAGGAGCAAGCACTATTCTCTCAAGACAAATCCCTCCCATCTGATCCATGAAATGCTTGCTGGTTAAATTTTTTATTGAGGTCAAGTTTATTGGAATTATCTGAAATAGACCCAATTTGAAGCCCAATTATATGATGATTGTGCTCAACAACAATATCTATCAAGAGAATACCACAAGTTAGACTAATTTCAACAGATGAAGGATCTTGCCCATCTAATTTGACAAAAAGACACAAATCAAGCTCTCTAAGTAATTCTAAACTAAACACATCATAGAAGAAAATTGTTTTCAAAAGAATCTCAATTCCTTTCTTTTGTAGTTCAAGAATGAGAAGCAGATTACAGTCACAAGAATAGGATACATAATATTGGCTAAGAATGTGGAAGCGTCTGTAGCTAGGAGGCCTCTTTATAAGCCGGCCTGATTGGGAGAATTCTTCTGCCCGAACAGTATGATCAGCTGGAGGCAAGCCACATCGTAGCAACAAGTTATCAAGCAAAGGAGTATCAACAGCTTTTTCATCTCTAAATGGAAGTTGGTAGATTCTTAGAGAACCAGGTTCACGGAGTACAATTCTATTGAAATCACCAGGCATAAATTCAGCAGTACAACTACAGATATAGTTGCAAGATTGCTCTTCCCATTTTAGAAATTTACCACATGCCAGTAACATTGATTCACGTTCTTTTCTTGCAGTTTGTTTTTTCATTGATGTGTAATGTGTTGCTTGAGTGATGGAAGCAACTTGCTGGCTTCTGTCAGAAAATGTGACAGCTGATAATCCATAATTGTTCATGAAATCAATAAGCTCATGAACTGGTGTGAGAAACATTGAATGAGGCTCATTTCCATAAAGCACTGTAGAAGTCATTGAATGAGACTCAATGGACATTAAGGGAAACTTTCCCGGAAATACTAGCAAGCAAGTTAGGGGATTAGATTCAAGTACAATGTCCATACAATGAAGTGAAGAGAGAGCTTGGTCCCTGAAGTTGTATAAAAGAGTATAGCCATTGCTTGTGCTCACAGATAAGAAAGTGGAGTACAATTCTATTGATGAACTCAATCCTATTTTTCCATACAATTTTACATTTGGGTTAACAAAACTCTTCTCAGACACATAGAAACTGCAAAAATATTTAAATGGATGAAGCTGAAAGACAATAAACACCACACGCAGTAGTGCATTGAAGCCTGGAGGAGCTTCTTTTGTTGATCGAATAATAATCCAATCTTGCTCTTCACAAGTATCCCATCCACTCATTTTAGCTCCAGTAAAAGAAAAATCATGCTTGGATATTGCAACACCAGTATCAGCATGATTCCTAAATAGGCAAGTTAGCTTCAGGATCAAAATCACAGGCTCCAGGTCTTCAGGCGGAAGGTCTTCAGAGAAATTTGGGTAAGGTCCATCTAGTATCATCACTTCTACAATTTTTTCATGAGCATTCAAATTATTGAGGGGTATTGAACACATTGGTTTAAGCTCAGTTGTTTGACTTGTGAGAAACTTGAAAATGCAAAGGCATAAAATACCTTGAAAATTTTTAACATAGCACAACCTCTCAGAGGTCATAGTAAACCCTGAGGCATTAAACTTAATATTCATGACAGCATACAGTGATGTGTTACCAGAGAATAGGCTCTGTAGCATATATCCACCAATTGTTTTCACATTTCTTAAGCCAATTTGCCTATTAAATAAGAGCATTTGTAAGGATGCTCTGTTAATATTTAGACCTTTAAAATGCATCATTCAATAACTTCTTTCTTACTGCTAAACTGTAGTATTTTGTAGTTGCAATAAGAAAATTTTAATAGCTTCAAGACTAGGAATGAACTTTTCACTAATAGCAATGTGCTTGGTAGCAAGGTGGTTCAATCTGCAAAGTAGATACATTTTGTTAAATTGACATAACACTTAGCTTACTGCTTAAATTAAATCACCTATATTTGGAGCTACAATCATACAACAAATTGGTTAACTATTAATACCAAAGTTAAGAATTTCAGCAACTAAAGAAGAATATACATTATTATGGATGAAGATAATAGTGAATGAATAGAAAAATGACAATACATAGATTAATATTCCCAAAAAAGAAGCAAATAACTTAGCAACAAATATAATGCTGCACAAGTTTAACATCCCAAAGATATCTTATATACCATCAAATGGGTAATATGCGATACTTTTTTTGTTTTTCATCAATAACTTTCTACCTTGAAACATTTCATAAATGAATTTGGGCTCATTTCAAAGGTCTTTGCGAGGGCTATTGTATGGCATCTCTGAAATTCTATATGCTATCCTTAAATAGCCAGAGGCAAAAAAAAAGAGCATCCCCAATTACCCCAGGGAATGGGGTTATTTAGGACACTTGAAATACTACCTAATTTTAAAATGTTTGGAGCATGCAGAGTGTACACATCCATTACTACTTACTAACAGTACCTACTGCAAAGTCCTGCTCTTCATATGTAAATGATGTAGATGTAGAATAAATGATGTTTCTGTGATTTGTACTTGTTTTTCCTCATTGATGATATTACCTTATCCATTTTTTGTTAAAAAAAACTATTTTTTCCATTCTATAGGTACCTAACACTTTTAAGACCCCTTAAAAAAACTTCCATGCTATTGACAACATTGTCCACTGTAAGCTTCATATCAGCAGCTGTATAGCAGTGGTTCCCAAACTTTTTCAGGCTGGCACCCCCTTTGGCTCCCTAGTGAATTTCTAGCACCCCCCACAGACACATATAAAAACATATGCCTCTTTCTTGAAATTTAATACCGTAAAATGGGGTAACTTAGACCACTTTTTTTTATAAATGATGCCATTTTTTTACTAGCTAAATTAAACTTTAATTGGAACATGCAAAATACAGGTCTATACTCTAGCTTCACTCACCATAAATTGCTGGCTCCTGCCTCTCATAGTCTTTATGTAAATATTAGGAGTTAAAACAATCTTTCTGGTGAATCCAAACAGCATGAAGGTAATGCAGGCTGGAAAAATGACATAACATTGTTTTATGATGATCCTAGTATCAATTTACGAAACTGTATTCAATGCCCGACCAAATTATTCTCTTAAAGTTCCTCATGATATAATTAAAGAGCCATAAATCATCAAACATTAATTTGGCCGCTAAACAAAATGAAATTAAACGTTGTTGTAACTAATTAAACGTTGTAACTCAATCAATCGTCAGCTATGGAAAGATCGGGTTCCAAAGGCCGGATCCCTTGTGAATCAAGTCACGAAAAGTTCAAGAATCGGCAACAGGCCATGGCCATATTTCTTCAACGCCGACACTTCTATTCTATTCTATTCACGCCAACTAAGCATCGTGTGTGTCAAAATCAAGCCAGTTGAGCCTCGTTTAGGCCGTGATACGCTATTGACTTAACTTAATTAAATAATATCATCCACGGTCAACATGTAGTGCGTGTGCGTGATATAGTCAACAATTACGGTCAACAGTGCGTGATATATTCAACAATTCATTAAGCCTGCAGGTTCGTCAGCTGTTTCAATGCAGATCGAACGATGTTATAAAAGACTCTCCAATACAGGGAAATTACAATGACAAGTATCCTCTTGAAACTTGTAAACTACAGCTGATGCTAAGCAGCGAGTTCATTTGAGAATGTCGGATGTAGTTCATATATAATCTATTGGCTTAAATCGGAAGATAATCAATAATTAGGAATTAGTTAATCAAGTTTTGTGTAAGTAAACATTTCTTCATCAAAAACGTTTCACCGATTAGTTTTTGAATTGATATAATGATGGAACTTGAATCTACAACGTTTTCCTTGAAGACAGCGAATTTAGTTGGTCTTTTCTCTGCTTTTAAAATTTTAGCTGATTAAGTCGGTGAAATTATTTAGAGTAGTAATAATAAACTTACTAATATCTTACCAGGAAAACTTTACCCACGTTGAAACAGAAG